CAAGGATATGCGCGACAGTGTATTTCAGATTGCAGCTCGAACTCGGCCTCCGGACCGATCTGAGTACTCGGGCGGACCTGCACAAAAAGGTGAGCACTCCAACGATCAAGTCAGTATAGGTCGGATTCCCAGTTTAGTTCGAGGTCAGAAATCATCCTACCTGATTGTGGGGTGAGGTCCTCTACTTATGGGTGGTAGTCCCGCTAATCTCGCGACGGTTACACCCGGTAATCTCGGGACCGACGGTTACACCCGATAATCACGCCGCTGACAGTAGCTCACATCGGCCCCTACCGAGCTTCCCGGTAGGTCGGACCTCGGCCAGGTTCACCTCGGCCCTCATACTTAGCATCTGTCAACGCTAGTGGTGGTGATCTCGACGGTCCGAGCTGGGCATGACTCATGAGTCACCTTGGAGCACCAATAGGGGTCCTCCACGTGTCCATGGTATTCTCTCCCCCAAACAGCCCTTATGAATAGAGTTCAACATATATGTCTAGAAGTTTGACATTTATTGTATTAAAAAAATTATAGTGGCACTTATGCTTCTTGTAAGGATTTGATATTTTTGTAATTAAGCAACTGTATCAATATGTGTAAAAGTGGTCCAATTATTTGTTTATTATATGAAAAAAAATATTCAAGAAAGAGATTAAGTCATATTTTAGACAAATAATTAGATCACTTTTGTATTTGGATCCAATGGACATGATTTACTAGCATATTTTTCATTAAAATTATATTTTTAAATTAATGTTAATAAAATTTTTAACTAAAAGAACTTTAGACAGATTAATATTATAGTTTTAACAAAAAAGATTTATATATTTAAAGTCGTTTGATACTGTTTTGTTTTAATGTTCTATTTTTTTAAATATGCTTATTTGCAACCTTTAAAAAAAATTTAAACTTAATATCAAAAACATTTTTGAAATTCAAACAAAAATTTTAAAAAAATAAATCAAAATTTTGTTTGAGCTTTTTTAATATTTACAATAATTAAATTAAAAAGGTGTTTCCAAAAAACAAAAACTCAACTAAAAAAACCTAGTTATTTAAGTAGTTTTCATATATTAAAAAACTGAGTTAAAAAATTTATTCTCTATATTTAATAGATTTAATTACTTTTTATTATCTAAAATCTTTGTCCATTTAATTTCTAAATTTTAAAATATAATAACTCAATCCCTTAAGTTTAAAATTTATAATATTGTAGTAGGTTAAAAAGTTCGTAATCTAAAATCTTTATATGTTTCATACGTATATTAATATTAATTAGATTTTTATATTATAGAGACTAAATATCTATCCCCTAGTTTAAAGACTATATCAAATAGGTTTAAATTAAATAAGTTATGTATTTTTCATTCAAAAGGGTCATTTTGACTAAGTATTTTTAACTCTTATTTATTTTGATCACTGTAATTTATAAACGTACTTTTAAAAAATGATTAGACCAGCTCGATAGGGTCTGACCCTAAATGGGACAAGGATGGAGAAGATTTTTCGGATGGAGACAGAAATAGTTCCTAGCTCCCCTTGTTGCCTTTATATCTAGTTTTCCATAGGGAACTCGATCCCAATAAATTTCTTACGAGGAATCCCCATCCCGATCTTGACAAAATTTCAGAGAGAATTTTGAGTACGAGGAATTAAATGAAATTTGACATGGACAATAAATTAAATGTGGGATGAGACTATGAACAATCCACCTTAACTCACTAAATTTCATAGATAAAGACCAAATTAGTTACGTTTTAAGATTAGAAAGGACGAAATTGTAAAGGGAACAAATCACAAAAGTACGAATACCAAAATAAAAAGAGAGAAAAAAAAGATAAAAGGATAAAATGATATGATACGTAATTATAGTAGAAAGAATCCCAATTCGTAACCATCATAAAATCCATGCACGAAAATTCAGTGAAAAATGGGAGTTGAGAGAGAGAGAAAATTCAGTTGCAGAGAGAGAAAGAATAAAATCCTGATTTCGAAAACAGATTCTGAAAATTTGGCAGTCAAAAATTCGTCTGCTTAAAACTCTCAACCGTCACAAAATCAAAATAAAAACTCTCACACAATTCTCCACTCCCACTCTCACTCACTCTGTTCATCTCTGCTCCAAAATCCCTCAAAAATGTTGACCGCCACTCAAGCTCGTAATATCGTCGGAATCGTCGGTAAAAAATTCATCCATTCATTTCACTTTTTTCTCTGTTTTCCCCTCTTTCTGCAGATCGATTCCAGATTAATCAATCAGTCTCGTTTCATTGATTTTGTTCTTCAGGAAATGTCATCTCCTTCGGCTTGTTCCTCTCGCCACTGTAAGCCCCTCTCTTCTTCCTCTTCAAACAAACACACCACCACTGTTAATTAGTTTATATGAATTGAAATGGGAATTTATTCAATGTGTAGACCCACGTTTCTCAAAATCTTTAAGAGCAAGTCCGTGGAGGAGTTCAAGCCAGATCCGTACATCGCAACAGTGCTGAATTGTATGTGTTGGATATTCTATGGAATGCCTTTTGTTCATCCCGATAGCACTTTGATTGTCACCATTAATGGCGTCGGCCTCGTTCTCGAGCTCATTTATTTGGCCGTATTTTGCTTTTACGCCAGTCCCAAAGGACGGGTGAGTTCAAACTTCCATCGCTACTAGCTCGATCGGTGTGGAGATGAGTATTGTTTCTTTTGGGTTTAATTTTGTGACAAATTATTTTCAAGAAAAATACTCTCTGATTTGATGGAAAGGTGTTGAGTTAAGTATTATTCCATTTTATTTGTTAAATGTAATTGGTAAGTAATGTTTCTCAACGAAGGTATAATTGGAATTAATTTTCTGCTACAATGTTTCAAAATTGTATTAAAAGAAATTACTATCTAATAGATCTTTGATGTAGTGTATTTAGTGGTTCAATCATTTTAGCAGAATCAACTTTATTTGTTAAATGCAAGTGTTAAATTCTACATTAAGAACTCTTTATGGATTGTATTATATATTCAAAGATGTTTTGAAACATAGGATTGATTTAGTAAGAACTAAATCATACATCAACCAATATGTTCTAAATCTTGTTTGTTTTTTTTTTCTTTATATTATTTTAGAAAGCTCTCTCAATTTCTCACAGGATGTGGATTTTTCTTTTGTGTTTATTTCAGAAAAAAGTGGGTATTTTTCTGGTGTGTGAAGTTATATTTGTGGCTATCCTTGCTCTGGCAACGCTGTTTCTTTTCCATGGAACGAAGGATAGATCAATGGTGGTTGGAATAGTTTGTGATGTATTCAACATTATAATGTATGCTTCCCCTCTGACCATCATGGTAAGAAAATATCCTATGATATTCTAGTTTTATATTGTATCATGTTATTATTCTTGTATATATTGATAAAATTTTCAAAAATCTATTTCTCATCATCAGACAAAAGTGATAAAGACGAAAAGTGTTAAGTATATGCCATTTACTCTTTCATTGGCGAACTTCCTCAATGGTTGCGTTTGGACGGCTTATGCTCTCATCAAGTTTGATATCTATGTCTTGGTATGTGTTATGTATTTCATTTTTCTTCCCTTGGGTGTGATATTTGAATCTCTGAATGACAGACAAAACTTTTTTGCTTCATTTCTCTCATCACTAGTCATATAGTATGAATATTGTGAGGAAGACTATTTTACCTCTACTATCTCCCATCGGTGTTATATCAAATGTTGCATTTTTAGCCCTCTTAATTATGATACATTTTTTCTGCCAAACTTCGGCATGTATCCCTGAGTATTAATCAGTGAATCTCTTCCTAATGTATCTGGACTAGTTTTTTTCACTAGCAAAATCTCTTTCGAGGAGAATCGGTGACTGTTTAATTAGATATGAGACACATTGTTTTCAATTACAAGTTAAAATTTTTTATGTAATTTGGAAGTGTAATTTATTTTTGATGAAAATTGTAGGTTAGCAATGGGCTGGGAGCAATTTCAGGTTCCCTTCAACTTCTTCTATACGCATATTACTCAATGTGCGGACCAAAAGAAGAAGATGTTGAATCAAAAGCTAGTGAAGTTCAGCTCTCCACTGCACAAACAGCAAGTCGAGGCTAAAGTGAGTGCACAAAATTAATGCCATTTTTTAGTTTCTTTGTTTTGATTTGAGTGAATATAATTCATGCCATAAATTATATTTCTCATTTTAGTATCAATTTTAAGAGTAAGGTTGACATGATCAATTATGCATAATTATTGATTCTTTAAAAAGCATATGATGATTTAAGTAATAGCTACAATGTGATTCGTATATTGCCCATTCAATAATTTAATTTTAAAGTTGTTTCGATAAATGTTTCGTTTTTTAAAATGATTTTTATTTAGAAATTTGAAGACAAAATGATTATCGAACTTCATTTGTAGTTGATTTATGACAGGTTTTGGAAGGTTAGGGCGGCTAGAGTAGTGCAGCTGCAGCAGAATTTTGATAATTTTGGTCGTAGTTTTGAACATGTTCTTTTTCATAATTCTTCGTAGTCTCTTGAGATAGAAGATCTAGAGATTTTTTTGTTCATTTTTTTTTAATTTTTGAGGAATAGTTTGATTTGGTTGGTTTTATGAAGAATTGATTTATGATTTGGTTATTTTATTCTTTTGACATGCACATCCAATTTGCACCCTCTCTATCTCTGTCTGAAATTATGAACGGTTCTATATGCGTGAGTTGCCACTTTTTTTTTTTTTTTCAATTACTATTATATATATAAATAATTGGAACCAAGATTAGTCATTTTAAACCTTTAATATTTTGAGAATTTTATGAATTATCCTATTTATTTTTCATGTAATTCCTACAATAACAAAGGATAACTTCAATTTTATTTTTTTAAAATTATCTATCTCACTTTTACAAATTTTACTTTTCTCAAAATAATTTTATCTCTAAAAAAAAAAAACTTTATTTATTTGTCTTACAATTAGCCCTTACAATTATTTTCTCCACCCATCTAAATTTCTTACATTTTGTCCATCAAATACAAATCTCTCTCTCATTCAGGGGCGGCTCAAGATATGTGATCTTAGACAAATTTTTGAAAGCGTGGCCTAAATATGATCTACTATTTTTTTTTTTCCGATTAAAGTTTGTTTGATTACATGCTTCATTTTCAACCATATACTATTTTTATTTCATCAATTTGATTTGTGTACCTATCATTTATTCTCTTATTTTATCATTTTTAGTACTTTTAGTTCTGCTAAAAAATTGTCGATAACATCTTTTCGAGATTCATCTATTTTTATAGCACCATTTTAGATTCAATCAGTTTTTATATTTTATTTTTTCTTAAGCTTTTCATATCCATATTCATATTTTCTTATATGAACATTAATATTCTATATTGATACAACTAAGTAAACCTAAACAAATCTCAAATATTAACGTATCAGAACAATATGAAATGCATTTTTTAAAAAGTAAAAGAAATGGAGCGAAAAAACTTGAACTTTGATTATATCAAATAATAAACTTTGAATCTTTAGTTTCTACTCTAACTTAACTGAGACAGAGGGAATTAAGTTAAATTTAGTATAACGGTGAGGGGTTATATTAATGATTTGGTTACTTTTTAACAAAATCTGAAAGGTGTTAATCACGAGAAAACAACACAGGTAACAAATTTAAGTGTTAGTAGTGCTGGTAAGAAATGTTAAATAATTATGTGTTTTCTAAAAAAATTTATATTTACGTGAAATTTTTTTTTCAAAATAATTATATATATTATTAGTTTGTATTTTCAGGACAAAAGGTATGAAAATGCATTATTTTATATTATAAATTACATTTATAAGTATAAAGTAAATAGATAACACATTATATAATATTATATGTACCATATATTATTGAAAAAATATGAGGCTTTTTAGGATTTGGGACCTTGCCCTATTATCTTTAGGATTTAGGCTTTTTAGTTTACATTATATAATAGTATATGGGCTATAGCACTTTTTTTTTTCTTTTTTAATTATCATTTTCCTTCTATTAGCATACCAATTACGCGGAGATGCTTCTCCACAAAAAAGATAAATAATAAATTCTTTCCATTTTGGATTTGTATCTATTCTAGTCCCTAAATTAACTTTTGAAAAGTTTGGTTATACAAGGGAAAAAAAATACTTTGAAAAGTTTCAGTTATGTACTTCTATTTTTAATTTTACATGTTACAAATCCCTACAATTAAATATTTGATTGTAGGTTGACATGACAATAAAATTGTGCCAAAAGAACTAATTTATATCTAAAAAAATTTCCGATCGAGGAACTAATAAGGTGGGGATCGTTTTTTAATTTTACTAGTTAGATTCACGTGCCTTGCACGTTAATTTAAAATTTTCAAATATATTTTTTATGATAAATTTTAAATTTAAATTATTGTATCTTTTGTTGATGCTTAATTATTAAATATATGACATTAGTTTTTTTAAACAAATATTTGACATGAATTAAAAAAAGTAATAAAATAAATATAAATGATAAATAACATATTAGATGACTAAAATTTAAGTTTATAGTTTGATTCTGAAGAAAATTTAAAAATGAAGCAAATATATTTCATCAACCATTCTTTTTGGAAGAAAATTTTCCATTTTCATGGTTAATACTAAAATTTAGATTATCTTGACTTTAAAAAGAGACATACTACATAATTTACAGAAAAAAAAATAGAAATTTAAGAAAAGAAAAATGTGAATCAAGGAATAACTATTAAATTTAATGATACTTATGTGGATATATATTTTTTTTAATTCAAGAGATTTTGTGGAATCTATTTTCTAAAAATGAGCTAAACCTTTAGCTTTCGAAAAAAAAAGAAAAGAAGAATATGCTTATTATTATTTCAAAAAATATTGAAAATTGAAAAATATTCCACTTAGAATATATTTTAGCTACATTAAACAATTTTTTTAGTTGCTACACAAATTTCAAATCGTGTTTTCAAATTTTCTTCAAATATTTAGTTTTTGAAAAAAAAAAAATAGAACTTATATTTTTTAAATCTTTTTTTTTTGCGAACCTGTTTATTTTCAAAAAAAAATATTTTTATTATACTTCAAAACTTTTTAATAATATCTTTATTTTAAAATTTTGAAACTAAAATTGTCTAATCTACTGCTATCGTTTAAAAGTAAAAAATAATAAAAAAGTCTCGTAGAAGTCAACTTAAATTCAAAATAAAACTTTTTCACATAAAATTTTCTAATATAGTCCAGATAAGGAAAATGACAATCAAGACCACTCAGAATATGATCACAATAAATAAATTATTGGTCATCAAACTGAAATCAAGAGATATGTATTCTTTATCCTTTCCTTTTTTTTATATAGTTATATCAACTCTCTTAAAAACAATTTCAGAAAGAAAGAGCATATGAATCATATCTCCTGTATAGTAACACTAAATCTTATATATTAATTGAAAGATCTTCGTCAAATATCCAAATAGCACGGTACAAAAAGTATTTTATAAAAACTATCCATGCGAGAGACATATTAATTTTATACTCTACCTCTTCATCGACTAAAAAAAGTTTATGGATTCGTAAATCTTCATTTTGATTTGTTTTAATGTTTCCTCGCGAAGAACGAAATTCTCGAAGAGGAGGCCACCAACCGTCCGAATCATTGTAGCAAACCCTCCTTTTACTCAATGGGGAGTGCTTATCCTATTTCAAGAGGAAAAAAAAACAAGAAATGAGAGTTTCACTAATAAAAGAAAAAACAATTAGACATTCTGGGAAAGAAAAAAAACCTTGTATGACCAATATTTCGTTTTCTTTCATTTTATAAATGGTTCGTAATCACACCGTAATAGACTTATTGTTTCAGTG